CCCGTGTCCCCTGCATCGGCAGGCGGACTCTCAACCACTGCGCCACCAGGGAAGCCCAGGCTGGCTTCTTTTTTGATACAAGTGCCAGCAGCACAACCAGAAGTTAACTTTTACCATTAACAGGTTTACATCAGTGCTGGAAAGTGTGGGAAACAGGAAGGTGGCATGTTATGGAATGGGATGCGTGAAGTAAATAATTCAGTTTGTCTGGAGCATCATGGGGAGATGGTTGATGGGGAAGCACATGCTAAACTGCATGGGATACACTTGCATTGATTTAACCATGTTTGTGTTTATCTGCTTGCTTCCAGCTGCTTGCCAGACATTGCTGTCTCTTCCTGTGGATTTTAATTTAGAAAAGGTATTAGGTAAGTATTGTATTTGTTTAAACCTTTAATAACTTAAATAAAAGGTTTTGTTTTAATGGCTTTTTGTAAGTGGGAATCTGTGGCAATGCCTCTTTCTAAAGAAGTGGGGAAGCTGTCCTGAAATTTCTCATTTTTCTTTAATATGGCCTGAATTAGCCTTTTTATCATAGTGAACTTAACTATAAACTATTCATGAACACATCTTATTGGCACTACCCATACTAATAATGAGGCACTAAAAAAAGAAGGAATCGTTTCAGATTTCAAGCAGCACCTGTGCAGTTAAACTTTGCCCTCTTTTTGGAAAACAGTTCAAACATAGAGACTGGTTTTTAAAACATCAGACAACTGAAATATAATTGCTCTTCCAAATGACTAGCTCTGCCTTTTATTCTGTTAATATTAAATATAGGTGACTATTTTAGAGCTGATGAATTTGCAGATCAATCTCCCGGAAACCTCAGTTCTTCATCCCTCAGAAGAAAGCTATTTTTAGATGGCAACGGAAGTATCTCTGACTCCTTACCTCCAGCTTCTCCCAGAAGTCCTTGTAGTGGTGTTCAAGCATCACTTGAGGTTTTTTATTCAATAGATTTATCTCCTGTGCAGTGTAGGAGCCCTGTGCAGACCCCGAGTTCGGTAAGAAGTGGGCCAAGTGGCTGGTTGGTTGGCTATAGGCATCTTGGACCTAGATGCTCCTATTGCTGTCAAGAGGAATGCTTGTCTTTTGGGTTTTATATTTCATGCGGATTAGCCTAGTTCACATTTTGTCATTAGGTAAAGGAATGCTTTTGGTCAGACTCTCCAATTTTGTATTTAGAGGTAAATGAGTCTCAAGGAATTTCAGGGTAAGGTACTTACTAAATTATGGAAGAGTTTCAGTATAACACAACTAGATTGATGTTAGTGGACTAACTTAAAATTTTTCATAAACTGCTACTTGGTTTGTGTAAATACGGTGCATTTATATTTTATCTTATCTAGTATATTCTATTTCAGAATTTTTGGAACAGTCTTCTTAACTATCCTTGTTACAAGATGCCTTGCCTTTGGCGTGTTTTTTTGTTGTTGTTGTTTTACCTTTTTTTTCTTATTAAAGTATAGTTGACTTACAGTGTTGTATTAGTTTCAAGTGTACAGCAAAGCGATTCAGTTATACGTCCGAATATATGTTTTTTTCAGATTCTTATCCCTTATAGGTTATTACGAAATACTGAGTAGAGTTCCCTGTGCTATACAGTAGATCCTTGTTGATTATCTATTTTATATATAGTAGTGTGTATATGTTAATCTCAAGCTCCTAATTTATCCCTCCCCACCTTCCCCTTTGGTAACCATAAGTTTGTTTCCTGTGTCTGTGGGCCTGCCTTTTGGTGTCTTGCCTTTTGCCACAAAGCAAAGGTGGCATCTTGCTTTCTGGTGAATAACCAAAGTTATACAACCTAGTTTATGAATGTGTTTCAAAAATAAAGATAAATAGCACTTGGTGTAACAGAGCTAAGGAAGAGAACCGTGTAATTTTATTTATTTATTTTTATGACAGGGGCAGTTTTCTTCTAGCCCTATTCAGGGTAGTGCAAAAAAATACAGTTTGGGAAGCATAACCAGTCCTTCACCTATTTCTTCACCCACTTTCTCACCAATTGCATTTCAAATAGGAAAGACACCACTCTCAGGTATGTCTTGTAATACAACCCCCAATTAAAATTTTATATTGTTAATATTTGTTATTAAAGAGTCTCTTTTTAGCTTGTTCTAACTACAGAGCTCCAAATGACCACTCACCCTTTTAAAATTTAGAAACTTGGATTTTTTTTTTTTTTAACAAAAGGAACAATTTACTTTCAAAGACTGAAATTCTCAGCAAAGTTCTGCTCTCATGTCAGATACAGGTAATTTGACTATAGCAGTACTTATACCAAATATCTTACAAGCAGAATCAAAGAAAGATGGCTGTTGTAGAGATAAGTTGGTTTCAGTATGCCTTCCAGTGTGTAGGTTCAGACTTTGGTAATCAGATATTCATATTGATATTGTGTAAAGATATATTTGTTTGAGTAAAGTTTTTAGGTAGTGTGTGAGAATTTACATATTTTTCTTTGCAATATGTCAGTTTTTCCTTGAAAAAAATTATAGCACTTCTTGAAAATTATTCACAGTTTACAAAACCTATTCATAGTAAATAAAGTTGGAAAACTGAAAACTATTTTTGTTAGTCTTCCTTTTATATATGTACATGTGTATGTGTGTATATATCTCCATACATATATGAACACACACACACACACACACACACACACACACACACACACACAGAGTTCTATATCCTGCTTTTTTCACAAAGCATTCTATTAGGAGTATTTTCGTAGGTCATTCAAGTCATTTATTATTGTTTGAAACCATGATTTTGAATCACTATATGATATTCCATTTCATGGATGTATCTTTTGTTTTCAATCCTTGATAAACGTTTAAATTATTTCTAATTTTTCCTTGTATGTACAGTGTATTGTACATATTTATTTCTTTAGGTTAAATTCTCAGAAGTGGAATTATTTGGTGAAAGGGGATGACTTTTTTTTTTTTTTTTTTTTTTTTTTTGCCCGGGGGATGACTGTTTTTAAGGCTCTTGAGGAATTTTATCAAATTTTCTTCGTAAGAAGTTGTACCAATTGAAATTTTCATCAGTGGTGTGTGAAAAGTCATCTTTTTCCCCATCTAGCAACACTGGTCTTACCATTCTTTTTGATGTTTGTTAATTTGGTACATTACAAAAAGGTCTTACTGCTTTAATTGTCTTGTCTTTGGTTATTACAATGTTGAACTTTTTCTAAATGTTTATGGGTCATTTGTTTGGGGGGATTATTAGTTCAGACTTCAGTGTTTTTGTTCAACAAATGGTCTCTCATTGCTTTAATTTCCATATTTTTTATTATTTGTGTGACCAAACACTTCATATGTTCATTTACCATTGGGAGGATTGTTTATATGCTTTTGCCCATTTTTTTAAACTTTTGTTTTTATTAAGCTAACGAAGCTATAAAAATTATTAACTTTTAAGGCATTTTGATCATTTTGTTTACCATTGTTAAGCTCTTTATTGTTGCAAATATTATTTTGCAGTTTTTTGTTTGCCTTTTAATGTTGCTTATAGTATTTTACATAAACAGAAATAGATTATTACATATTTCATTTACCAGGTACAGCTGTTAATTTGCAGCTATCAGCTGGTTTGTTCTATTATCTTGGATGTGAACAGCATTGTTATAGTAGCAATATGCTTGTGAGGAAATAATTCTCAGGGAATAAAATATTTTGTTTAACTGAAAAAGGGAAAGTGCCAGAGGAATTATTTTTGAAGAGCCTCACCCTATTTATGGATACACATTCATTTGTGCTATTATTTTTAACACCAAAATTTCACTTCAGGAAACAACACCACTGTTAGAGAAATCCAGTTTTTCTGGCATGAAACATGATGATGACCATTTAGTAATGGCTTTCCCATGTCCATGTTTTCATGATGTGATTTTTCCTTCCCAATCTTTCTTTTTCCACTCCCAATCTTTTAGAGCAAAGGAAGTTAACTTTCCATTCTCCTGATGCTTCGTCTGGAACAAATTCTAATGGAATTACCAATCCGTGTATCAGAAGTCCTTACATAGATGGCTGCTCACCAATTAAAAATTGGTCTCCTATGAGACTTGAGATGTGTACAGGGGGTGCTAAGTATCGGCCCTCACTGATTCGGGTACCTTTTACTCTCGAGGCTCACAGCGAAGATGAAGGAGACAAGAAAGATGTTCCTTCCACAGACGCCTCCTCCCTAGCCATGGGCACAGCTGGAGTCCACCTGCCGCAGTTGGATGGTGACACTTGTCCACATGGCGCGCGCTTGGTAGTGACCGCCATGTCTATTACCCAGAACCAGTCCGGTGCTTCTGAGAAAGAATTGGCACTGCTGCAGGATGTGGAAAGTGAGAAGGAGAATAACACTGTGGATATGGTCGATCCCATAGAGATAGCAGATGAGACCACTTGGATTAAGGAGCCCATTGATAATAGGAGTTTACCCATGACTGACTTTGTGAGTGGGATCGCCTTCAGTATTGAAAACTCTCACATGTGCATGTCACCTCTCGCAGAAAGCAGTGTCATTCCTTGTGAAAGCAGTAACATTCAGGTAAGGTATTTGAATATTCTAGAGTCCTTTCCTTGGTCCCTTGGTGTTCTTCATCCTTTCTTTTGTAAGATTATAGTGAGAAAGAAAATGGGTTGTATGTGAGACTTACAGCATTACATATGTATTTTTAATCAGTACTAAGTGATATCAAGAGGGTTAGTTCTTTTAACTTGGACTGATGATGCATATATTTAATATTCACATGCACTGATATTTATTTGGAGTAGGAAAACAAGAGAGCAGAAAAGAAATCAAGCTGCTCTGTTTTTACAAACTGCTAGAATCTGGCAACTTCTCAGGGTTCACCTCTCTTTCCTGTGGAGCTAGTTCCCAAAGAATTCAGTTTCTGGTGTAGTGTTTGTATTCTAAAAATACAGTAGTTTTGTTTTTTCCTTTATATAATTTAAGAAAAGCAGTTTAGAGCACTTTTATGTATATTTCTTTTGGACTTTAAAAAGTGATTTGTAACCACCATTTTTCATGTAATCATACATTTCCAATTTTGCAATATCTGGCAACAGGAAAGCATGATTCATTTGACAAATATACTTCACAGCTAGCACTTAGTTTCAGAAAGACATTTGTTCCACTAACTGTCATATTTTTTGAGTTGAGAGTTTTGAAAGAACTTTAAACTAGAAAGGCAATTCTACCTGCCATTTCATAGTAACAATATCTAACACTTATGTAGCTCTTACAATATGTCAGGCATTATTTCCAAGTACTTTACACATGTTAATTTGTTTAATCTTCACAATGGTCCTGTGAAATAGGTATACTATCATCCACATTTTACAGATGAGGAAACCGAGGGTCAGAGAGGTTCGGTCAATTGCCTGTATAGCTAGCGAGTGGTGGAGTCAAAAGATTCAAATCCTGGCAGTCTGGATTCCATGTTCTTTAATCCAAGTTTATACTGACCCATAGTAATAGTTAATACTACACAGTCTTCCAGTGTGCCGGACGCTAACCTCTTTATAGATACTAATTCATCTAATTCTCACAACTCTATGATGCTTTAGTGCTGTCAGTTTTGACATGCTAAAGTGTAAAATTCATGGAGGGATTTTAAATGATCCCAAATTACATATAATCTTTTGCTTATATTTTATGCCTATGTTGTCTATCCTGACTTCTAGGATTGTTGCTCAAAAAAGTACACTAGAATCGCTTTTACATATTCCAGCTTCTAAATTTGGTTCCTAAGAAGCGCATCCAGTCAAACTTAGCCTTAAAGGTATTGTTAACTTTTTTGCTCTCCTTTTTTCTTACTGCCTCTTTTTTTCAGAGCATCTATAGAAGCATTATAGAATACTTAGATGGAAATACACATTAATCATCCAGTCCAACTTCCCCTTGGAAGCCTGTCTCATTATAAATTGCCATCATTCTCTGCCTGAGTACCTGCAGGGGTATCCTAGCCCATCTTAGAGGACTTCTCTCACCATTTACAAGCCTCTTCCCTAGCGAGCTGAACTATGGTTCTGTCTGTGGTATCTACCAGTCAGTTTCAGTTTTATCCTTTGGGTCATATAATAATGTGTACTGTTTGCAGAACATTTTGTAGGTTAAAAATGTTTTCTGTACATTCTTTCCTACCACAGGGGTAGCTCCAAACATTCAAAGACAGTCACATTTTCCCAGGGCCTTTTGACTTGCTTTACTGTGACGGGTTGGCCTCCAAGCATTGTACACAGCTGTATTCCTGGAATATCCCTTCATCATCCTGAGAATTCCCTTAACCTCTCGCATGTTCTGTACCCCATTCTTCTGTTTCCTGGTTTACTTCTCACTTGACTGGAACACATTTTCCAGTAGCTTTCTGAGGAAGAGTACCTTTTTCAGGATACTGCACATCTGATCACATGTTCTTTGTTCTCTCACATTTGAGTTTGGAAATAATTTTCCTTCAGACTTTGTTTCATTGATTCTGTTTTCAGTGTTGCTGGTGAGAGATCTGAAACCATTTTAAAACTTAATCTTTTGCATATGTCTCTTTTTATCCCTTTCTGGAGTAAAGGATCCTGAAATTTCAGTGATTCTTTGGTGTGTGTTCCTTTTCATCAGTTGTACTGGGCACTCAGAGGGCCTTTATGATCTGTAAACTCATGCCCTTCACTTCTTGGATCTTTTCTTGAATAATATCTTAGATTTCTCCTCTATCGTTTTCACCATTCTTTGGAACTCCTTTTGATTCTCCAATTTAAAAAAATCTTTTCACAGTTTTTTTAACTCCCTTTTGTTCTAATTTTTGGGAAATTTGCTCAACTTCATACAATAACCCTTCCATTGAGCTTTTATTTCTGCATCTTAACCTTAAATTTGTAAGCTTTTTTGTTTGTTTTGCTTTTAGTGTTAATTTATAAATCTGTAGAGTGGCTGGCAAAGCATTGCATGGTCTGGTTTTTCCCTTACTCTCCAGCCTCATTTTGTTTCCCTTCCTTCTGTTTCAGTCACATTGGCTTTCCAGAGTTTGGAATACCATGTTATCTCCCTTGATGCCTGTGGCGGGTAACGAGATGACCTGTGTTGTCTGGTTGGCACGTAGTAGGCACTGACATTAGTAGTGGTCTGGATGGGAGCCAGTGTGGTAAGCCACCATGTTATGTTAGGGGCACCCATGATCCTTCTCTTCCTAGAGAGTGGGACAGACTCCCTGTGTACCGTACTCCCTGTACCACAAGGGTTTTGTTCAAATGGAACATCACTCCCAGGAGTAAACAAATATGCATCCATTCCCAAAAACTGGAAACATTTTTCTTAAGATGATGATAGAATGCACTTTCTAGGCTATTCTTATGTTTGTGTTGGGGGCAAATGTAGTCTTTCCTTCGCTGATCATAATTTGCATAAAAGGGCATAAGTGCAAGATGACTGCATTGTGGGTTGTGTTGTTTGGTGTTCGTCACTGTGCACGTTAAGTGTGGAGTGTGCAGTGAGTGGACAGGGTAGTGGGGCCTCAGCTCTTCGTCATCTCATTCCGACACTGTGAAAGTTACCCTTTCTGAGCCTTAGTCTCATTTGTGAAGTTAACAGGGTGCTGCAAGGAGAAAATAAGAATATTACATGGAGTGCCATACAGGGCTGGTGCTTTGTTAGGCCCTCATGAAATAAATATTTGTCATATTTGTACCAAAACAAGTTTGCTGGTCCCTTTTTTTCTGCTCTTTTGGGCTGTAACAGTGTGTTGTAGAATGCTGTAATTTTAATTAAAATGAAAAGCTGAGCTAACATCTAGAGCCATTATGTACGTGGTATTATTATGAAGGTAAGATTTTTATTTCAACGATGGGTATGAGTATAATATAAGCCACCTTTTAAAAAATGTGTATTGTTTTGAATCCTCTTAAAGGTAGCTTGGCATTTAGGTAAATTTTATTTAGAGATGCAAGTAAGCCATTTAAGACAAGCTTGGTAAATGAGTTGGAAGAAGTTGATTGTAATCTTCATTTTCATCTACTGGGTGTGAGCACAAAGTAACAGGGAAGTATGTTCTTAGTGGTTTGTACACTGACTTTCAAGAAAATTACAGGGACTTCCCTGGTGGTCCAGTGGTTAAGACTCTGCGCTTGTACTGCAGGGGGCGCAGGTTTGGTCCCTGGTCAGGGAACTAAGATCCTATATGCTGCGTGGCACAGCCAAAAAATAAAAAATAAAATAAAATAGCCTAGAATTTTAAAAAAATAAAGAAAATTACAAGATATGTTTTATTAGAAGGAATTGTAGTATCTACTTTGAACAAGCAATTTTATGTTTATTACTTTTAAAATTCATTCAATATGATCAATATTGTATTGTTAATACAATATTAAATTGTATTATTCAGTTGTGAATGATAGTATATAGTGATTCATTTAAATGTTTTAAAATATTGTCTTTATATATAATTACATAAGCCATATCTTACATATATATATTTTATATAAATATTTTAACATAAATTTACTTATTTAAACATAAAAGTTCCTCAAAATAAATTTTGTGGTCAAGTGAATTACACTTTGCAATGTTACCTGTGGTGGTTTTTTTTCTCTCTCCCTCTCATTCCTGTCAGATGGATAGTGGCTATAATACACAGAATTGTGGAAGCAATATTATGGATACGGTTGGAGCAGAAAGTTACTGCAAAGAAAGTGATGCACAAACCTTGGAAGTCGAGAATAAATCTCAAGTTTTTAATATAAAGGTATGGAAAAAACAGAGAAAGCTTGATATGGTTGTAGTTTTTTAAGTATTTACTGAATGTGACTGTTTTCAGCCTATTTTTTTCCCGTTTTGTGTAAAATCTCATTAATTGCTATCTGTTGATGCCTCATCCTATCTTCAGTTCATTTAATAGCAGGAGAAAGTGCTTCAAAACTTTATTTTCCTACCTCTTCTGCTATGAGGGAGCATAAGAGAAGAGGTGGGGGAAGGAGAGCTAGCGCTGCTCTGGAAATGGGGCTTGAAATCAGTTCCATTAAGCGAAAAGGGGAACAGGAGAGGGTGCCCAATAGGAGGAAGGTGGAGGGTTTTGCCTCTAATATTGGCTCAAAGCTAAACTAAAAAAAGCATCTTGATTACTAGAGAGGGAAATAGTACAACTGAGAGATTACACATCAGTTAGGAGCACTCAAACAAAGGTAAGGGTTCTTTTCTTAAAATCCAAGCCTTTAGAGATAACACATGTGGATCTAAAAAACTGAGTATTTATACAAAAGTATACTGTTGAAGTGAACACTTACTGAACCTCCAGATAGGATGGATATGTCTGTATATGGTTGGTGAGTTCCACATCCATGGATTCAACCAACCTCAGATCAAAAATATTCAGGGCAAAAAACCCCCCAAAATCCAGAGTTCCAAAAGCAAAACTTGAATTTGCCATGTGCAACTATTTACATAGAACTTATGTTGTACTTGCAACTATTTACATAGTATTTACACTGTATTGGGTATTATAAGTAATCTAGAGATGATTTAAAATGTATGTAAATACTATGCCATTTCATATAAGGGACTTGGATATCCTTGGGGGTCCTGGAACCAATCCCCCATGGATACTGAAGGACAACTGTATTCAGACTTGAAGAATCCCATCATAATTTTAGGCACTGATCAGGAGAATTTTTGATTTTTATATGCCAGTTTATTAATAAACAGTAAACATCAAGTGTGCAACTAAACGTAACTCTCCAAACGAACATTCAAGTTTAATATGGAGGCCACGTTATTTTACCTTTCCTCTGTTTTGTCATGAGGTGGGATTGTAGTTGTCCATTTGAAAGCAAGCAAGCATTAAGATACAGGAGGTACTTTTATGATACAGAATAGTGATTTGTAACAAAATGTATCTTCACTGTCCCTTTAGAGTGCATAAAGAAGTTTGCATCTTGGTTTTAGAAACAGTTCACATAATTGTTGTATCCTTGAATGGTCCTATTTAAACTGAAAACAAGGTATTTTCTTTTTCACAGCAAGACCACTCAATGCAAAGGTGTTGGATGAAAATTGCAAATCGGCCTCAATGCAGCAGCCCATAGAGCACCTCTCTCAGAACCAAAGCCTCTAACTGGACAGCTCCTCACATACTTTTCATGCATGGGATCCATAATGTGATCGTGATGGGGAAGAAACTGCTTCAACTAACATGCTGAGCTTTTTTTCTTTCCCTCCTTAATGTGAAAAACCAAGGGCTTAATTTAGTGACAACAGAAAAGCTCCTGGAACTTTCAGGAAGTTACTGAAGTACAAGTTCAGTTTTTAGCAATAAATATTTTTGTACTGACCTTGAGTGATGTGTTTATTTAACAAAAAACTTGAATGATAACTTTGCTCCTGCCCTACAGGGTCACTTTACTGACAGCACTGAATTTAGCAGGAGTTCTGGGAACATGTGGAACTGTGAAGGTGCTATGTTTTATTTTACTTAAAAGTATGTGAATATACAGATGAATTCAAATTTATAACCTTGGTGAAAGAAATAAATGTGAGTTAGAAAGGAAACTTAATCGAAGAGGTAGAAAGGAGGTTAGGCAGGTTTCCAACACTTTTCATGCTTCAGCTGTTTGTTCATTTCAGCACACAAATTCTTAGTTCCAGTGATAACTGGTCTAAAAAGTGTGGATCTTCATGTGTTGTTATTATTAGTGAGGTTAATGTGGGATGCCCAGAATGTATCTCCATCCCTAGGGTAGGGAACATCCTTTCCAGCTCACATTTGGTACGGAGAGGAGTTAGTTAAGAACACAGGAGAACCAGGATAAACTGGGGGGTGGGGGTGGGGTGTGTGGTTCCCATAGAGCTTTAGGCTTATGAAGCTAGGGTTGGACAGACATGTAACTAAATTTTTAAAATTAAACATATGTTGGGAGTAGAATGGGTATATAATTCGGGGGGAAAATATTCTTTACCTTGGGAGAATGTATACTCATATTTTACAAATTACCTTTTAAAAACTGTCTCATTCAGGAGGGAATAATTCATACGTAGCCCTAGGAAATAAAGACATACTATCATTGTGTCACGTCCTTCCTTACTTTTCTGCAACTTGTAAACTTCGTGCCAACCTGCAAGACTTATTTCTTGCTACGTACCTGGCTCATCCTCTCCCCTCTGTACACTAAACATTAAAGCCATTAGCCACTAGGTCCATTGCTAAAGATTAGTGCATTAGGAAGCTGAGTCCTTAATCACAGGCTTTAGAATTAATAGGAGCTTAAAACAATTGTGGTACATAAGAGGAATTCTAGATCCTAAGGGTAGGTGCCTCCCTGGCTGTGTTTTTTTTTAATAGCAAAACTCAAGAAACAACAAAGTTGTGATTGTAACTTGGATTCAAATCCTCCTCTGTCACTTATGACCCAAAATAGGCCATAAACCATCAATCTCCCACCGGTTAAATGGGGATAATAGTCCTTACCAAACAGGGCTTTTTTATTTTGCAGTATGCAGGGCTCTCACTGTCGTGGCCTCTCCCGTTGCAAAGCACAAGCTCCGGACACGCAGGCTTCGCGGCATGTGGGATCTTCCCGGACCGGGGCATCGATCCCGTGTGCCCTGCATCGGCAGCAGGCGGACTGCATCACCAGGGAAGCCCAAACAGGGCTTTTTAAATGAACTATTTCATGTCAGCTGTGTAGCATAAGTAGTGGCATTCGAAGCATTTTAGATTAGCAAGGAAGAGGCTTCAGGGTGAAAATAAGGTTTCTGGTCACCTTGAACTACTCAACAGGGACTAGAGCCTGAAGCAGGCCTTCTTCATAGAAGAGGCGTAAGAAAACAAATCTGGAAAGACAGACATGAGGTCAGCATAGCCTTGTTTTACCCAGAAGCCTTCCTTTCCCTCGACTGCAGGTAAACTATGGCCCACGAGCAAAGAATCTTTAAATGGCTGGGGGGGAGAGGTGCAGCATGGAAATTGAATTTAGTAGTATTTTGTTAAACACACGAAAATTAGGAAATTATTTCAATTTCCCTGTCCGTAAACAAGGTCTTGTTGGAATGTAGCCATGCTCGTTTGTTTACATATAGTCCGTGGCTGCTTTCGTTCTGTAAGAGCAGAGGAGTGAGTGGAGAGCTATGGTTGTGACAGGAACCACCCGGCTGGCACAGCCTGACTCGTCCGGCCTTCACAGAAAAGGCCTGCCCACCGCTTTAGGCGTTAGTCCCCTCAAGGCTCTCCTTCTCCGAATGAAACAAGTTCTGCCTCACTGTATGGATGTTTTCCTCAGTAACAGGAAATGGGAACAATCGTTTTAATTACTGAAGTGCCTGAATGTACACATTGGAACTATTCTCACTTACTACAGCTGCCGATGTGTTCGCCAGTCACTTCTCACTGTACTGCAAGCTCCTTCAGTGCAGAGATCGTTTACTTGACTGGTGAGGAACCTGGTACAGTGTCGGAACTTCAGAAATTGAATGAGCCAAGTAAAATGTTTTAAGGTAACTCTATCTCAAAATATTCTTGAAGACACCTATTTTATCATTAATAATCTTTGTGGTCGACAAGGAAGTAGGCACGGGCACGCCAAGCAGCAGCACTTCAATCTTTCCCTTTAATGTCCTCATGCAACCCCTACTTTCCTCCATAATCTGATATATATGCAATTTAAAAGCCATTATTAATTGCCTCCTTATCTTATAAGTGACACGATGTGATGTTTAAAGGGCCATCTCTATTCTTTCTTTGAAACCTAATGCCTTATTTTCGGGGAGATATTTGAGCTGAAGTTCAAGGATGATGATCACACATTATCTGGTATTAAAGAAACAACTATTTTTCCAGTTAGATCAAAATATTTTACTTCACCTTCCTTCAACACCCAATTCCCAAACATTCACAGCTGTTTAAGAACCACTAATAAAATGCAGGAGGCTTTTAACAGTACAGGAACACTTAGTGTAAGTCAGGTAAATTAAAGGTGGCAAAGGAGATTAAATGCTGAAGTCCCCGACGGCTCCTGGCTTCACTGTCTTGAAACCTAAAAACTGCCGTACCACACACTGACAGCTTTCAAGACTCAGAGAGAATAGACTGTTGCTTCTAAAAATGTTATATTTCCTCCATAGGAAAATTATAGTTTTTTTCTACCAATAGTAGATAATCAAATTACTTATGCAAAATTCATCTCCTCTTCAGTGAGCAGATGAGTGCTCCCTTTAAATGATCTTTACAGATCCCTCAAGTTGTTATCCTGTCACTATTTAAGTGATGGTTATTCAATCGAATTTTTCTGCATAAATAGTTCTGTTCAATCCAGAAAGGAAGCAGTATGATGGGACAGACACAGTCAACAGTTCAATAAAAATGCAAATTTTAAAAATTATTAAAATGTGCTTAGAAGTAACAAACTGTATCACACACTTCTTAGGTTTACAAGTGTTCCCTCAAGATTTTTTTTTAAGGAAACCAATCTTTGAAGTTTTTTTTTCTTGACTGTAGCTATTTTTGAAGCTTCTTCTTCTTTCTCTCTGGTTCACTAATGTCCATGTTTGAAGTATCAGTAGGAACGCTTATTCCTGGTATCTAAAGTAATGCAAATGGGAAAAATAGGTGAGTAAAAGCGTAAAATAAGGAATAAATCTTTCTCATCTTCCCCTTCCCCACTGACGCTTTTAAGTTCAAAAAGATGCAGGGGGGGCTTCCCTGGTGGCGCAGTGCTTGAGAGTCCGCCTGCCGATGCAGGAGACGCGGGTTCGTGCCCCGTTTCGGGAGGATCCCACATGCCGCGGAGCGGCTGGGCCCGTGAGCCATGGCCGCTGAGCCTGCGCGTCCGGAGCCTGTGCTCCGCAAATGGGAGAGGCCACAACAGTGAGAGGCCCGCATAACGCAAGAAAAAAAAAAAAAAAAAAAAAAAAAGATGCAGGGGTGGCAGGGGGAAGAAGGAGCAGTAGATTTTCTGCACGATGTATGTGTTGGTATATATTTCACACACGAAGGAAGACTGGTTCAGAATGTAAAAGGCAGACATGATCTCAGCAGGTAGAAGCATGTCATTTGGGAAGGGTGTGTTTAACCACAACGTTCAATTTATCCTAGCTGTGCGCCACTCTGTCAGGATCAGAGGCCTCAGGTGTGTCGGGGGCAGAGCCAAGGTTAAGAACCAATGTCTTAAGTGAAACACACTTAAACTTGATCTTCAAAAGTGCAGATTTCAGAAAGAACTAGGCAGATCTCAGCACTCCACTTTTGGCCCCAAGGACCTCAGGAGAAGCCCAGATGCCTGGGTTCCCATGGCCTAAGGAAATCAGTGAGAAAATAGGATTTCCTATGCAGATATTTGTCCTTCACAATACTTACAGAATTCTATCCTTAAACAGAAATAACTTATGACTATATCACTCTCTTTCACAAAATACGTACTGTTTACTCCACCACAACATGGACACTCTAAGTTTGGTCTTACCTCTGGTTCTACCAGGGACATTCGGATTTTCTGATGCTGAAGATTAGATGAGTCTAACATGATTTTCACTTTAACTTTATCAAATATATGAAACACTGTATCTTCTATTTTAAGTGATGGTATCTAAACAAAACACATTTTACTATTTTTAATTGCTTTCTTACACTTGAGGCTTGGTTCTAATTCATTATAATTTATCTTCCATATTAATTTAAAAGTTTAAATTCTAAAATAACTTCAATATTTATTCAGCATCTAGCTGTTCAACATAACAAAAACCACTAATCTAACAAACTCACATACATATGACCTAATTATGTGCAAACCTCCCCCTTTCATTAATGTGGTCCCAATATATATTCATTAACTGTAGGATTCTCACCCCTTTAATTAGCAAATTGTTGGTGTTATACAGGAGCACAAAGGTAATGTGGGCAGAATTTACTGTTCTGTAGTTCTACTAAGATTAGGGAAGTAGGGAGTGTGTCAGGTAAGAGACACTTGGAATTGGTTGAAAAAATTCCCTTCTTGGAGCTATAAACAGCCATTTATTCCTTTACTTTAATCCATTTGTCCACTAGGGACAAAGCATAATTCAAGTTTTCCTTAGAGGGGAAAACTTTACATGGTATAAAAGAAAGAAATGATGAACAACTTTTGTATATGGGAAGATATACTGAGCCGAGAAATTGTGAGTAAAACAATAAGCTTAGCTAGCATAAAGTTCTGTAGGGTACAAAAATAATTTTACCTTTTATAGGTACCATTTGCAACTGTCCCCCCTCCAAAAAAACCCAAAATAAAAACATTAGAAATACTGTACCTCATCATCGTAAGTAAGCCGTGGCTTTGGTTTGTCCTTTTCTTCAAAAAAC